GAAAGTGCAGCGCGCGTCTCCTGATGCAAGTCTTTTGGTCCCGTTGTTTCACATTTGTACCAGGTGGCCACCATAAAAATGCAACGAAAATGAGCCTAAAAATCAAAAATGAGTATTGAATGCAGTATAAATTGCCCTGTGAGTGTTATAAATGTGTCAGAAGACTATGATAACGTTTATTTATAATGTGGGTGAACTAATCCTTTAAAATGAAGTGGGCATAAGGTTTGAAGATTATTTTTGCACATATCTGAGACAAATCACTTCTTGCAGGAACTAAACCAAGCCAGCAATACCTTTCAGTGGTTTATTTATTTTAGTTTGAGTTATATTTGTTTCCTGGCAGTGCACTTTTAAAGCAGCCATCAAAGAGGGAAAGTACATTTTTAAACTTCCAGGTAATTGTACAGAGATGCATCAAAAGACAAGCCACAGTACAGGCACCAGAAATATACAAATATTGATTCTGATAGAGCAGCACAAAAAGAGAAGCCACAATCGATGTCACAGAAAAAAAAACACTCGAAGTGTTTGATATCGAAAGATTGCACTCAATTGATTCAGTCCAAATAAAGCTATCCAAGGCTTTTGTCTGTTCCAGTTTCTGAGAAACTGTTTCCGTCAGCATCCAGCAGTGTGCTGGTCCCCCCCCCCCTGCCTGAACCGCCTCCATTGGACTCCTTTGTTTACTTCTGTAACATAGTGATACCTCTTTGTTACACTTGCGCTTCTGTTGGCTAGCGCTCCGACAAATTGCACATGATAGGCTAAGGGGCGGGACTTTTCAAAGATGGTCAGCTAACCAATCAGAGCAGTCTGGGCTCTGGTTTCGGTCAGAGGGTGAAAAGAGGTGCTGCAGCACAGGCAGTATAACAAAAATAAAGACAATTTTGAACAAGAAAGACATGTCACAGTCGAGGAACAAAATATGAATATGCACCTGGAAATGAGCACAATAGGCCCCTTTAAGTAACAATTTAAATGGAATTAGTATTCTGTAGAAACCTTGCTTTATGGTGTATATGAGAACCTGGCACGTGGGACAAATTGAAGCATTTATAGGACAAGGTGAGCAAAACTGTCCTGCTGTGAGATTAATTGACCTCCCCTCCCCCAAAGTGCTGAAACATCCATTCAGTGGGAGAGGCTACATAATTTTTTCTCTCTATTAGTGGTGCCATTTTAAATGTGAAACTTTAACATAAAAAAATTCCATTAGTTCTATGATTCATAGTTTAATCAATTATTTTCTAATGTATGTTAAAACATTTTATACTTTTAATTTCACATTCCTCCACATCTTTCATCTACAGTATATGTCAGCACTTCTTCTGAGGGTATAAGGACATTTAAAGCTCCTCACTTCTTTATTGGTTATTAATTATAAATTAAAGTCTGTATTTTTGCATGAACTGTGATGTATAGTGTCACTTTATTGTCTGTGTGTGTGGAAGTTAGACCTTGACCATAGCAACAGTTTTTCCTCAACGGATAGAGTCATCAAGGAAATAGATTGTTGTCATTATGATCCATAATTAGGTCACATAATAACAACTGAGCTGTTTCCGTGCCAACTAAGAAAGCTCTGTTTACCCACCCCCTAACCTTTACCCTCACCCTGAATGTGGTTTAAGTTAGCAAAAAAATCAAGTAAGTAGACGTTGAGATTAGATGATTTGGTGAAAATCATACAGGCTGTTTTCTAAATCACTGTGGTTCAAGTAAATGTGAAATATTAATTTCAGTTTTATGACGAATGTAGAACAAGTATAGAAGAAAAACAATCACATTATGTCTTTTGAAATATATATTTTCTTTAATTTATATTTGTATCTAAATAAACACATTAAGAAATTGACCCTGTTTTTGTTGGTCAATTATACTGTAGATTAAAATATTGTAATGTATTTTTTGGGTAATCTAATAAGATTATTGGAAATTAAAATACTTATAGTAGGATGTGTAAAATGTGGTGGCATCTTGTGGTGCTGTTGCAGATTGCCCTCACCCCTCCCTTTACGTGACTTGTGCCACCAGGTGCAAAACATTGGTATCACTGCATCTTTTAAAACCTCTGCCTTGCTCAGAGGGCTTCCTTACCATAACTTTACTTACAAACACAGACAGCGGCTGGCGTTATGGAGTTTTACAAGTATATCAGAGAACTACAGTGGACTTCAGGAAGTGTAGAAACATTGAAAGAACGTCTAAGAGTTAGATATGTCCGTTCTGTAAAAACATGGCAAAGCAACATGAAGATTCAACTTATTGTCATTACGTAGTACAGGTACTACTGTATGTAATGAAATGGTTTCTCTGCATTTGACCCATCCTAGTGTTAGGAGCAGTGGGCTGCCATTATGTACGGCGCCCGGGGAGCAGTGTAGGGAACAGTGCCTTGCTCAGGGACACCTCGGTAGCACTTGGTCTTTCCGGGACTTGAACTGGTGACCTTCCAGTTGCCAAGCTGTCCCTTTGGACTTCGCCACCACTGCCCCATGGCCGACTCCATGAAAAAGACTTGTTCCCTATTATGAAGAACTTATTCTGAGTTGAAGAAAATCAACTATTCCTAGATTCAGGTGATTATACACTAATGAAAGCAAGAAACGTATGAATGTTAAATTCCATCTCAGCTAATGGCAAACCAAATGGCTAATAGAAGAATGCCAATTAAGGAGAAGAAGGCGCTTCTTAACTCCTGCCTGTTAAGTGTATGCTTGTTACAAAGGACAGTATAAAACATAATACAGACTCAATTGTGATAAAAGTTCCTAAAAATAACAGGAAAACTCATTTGTAATGTAACATTTACAGGAAAAACTGTGTTTAGAACTGGGTTCAGATACACAATTAAAAAAAAAAAAAAAAAGGTTCGGAAGGTTTTACTTTATCTCCTTAAATAAATAAAAATATGGCTGATTAATTCTAATAGCACACCCAGAGCTTGAATAATTCAGAAATAATTATGACGGCTGTCTTTGAAAAATATATAATTGGTTTGTTTTCGATACAACAACATCAACAACATGTTATCACAAGATCAGGCTCTAATTCTTCCCTACAACCTGACCATTTCCCTCACACCATGAGCATACTTACAGCAGAGCAAGCAAAATATACAAGAAGTACATGAGGGAACAATAAAAATGAAGGATAGCAAGGCGAGCGACTCTCTGGTCTCAGGAGTCCTGGCCCAGGTCTTTTATGTCTGTGTATATAAAGACATCCATAGCTGAAAATGCTGTGCTACAGTGAAACGTCACCCTAAGTAGTCTATTCAGCAATCTCCAGCTTCATGTTTGATCCAAACAAAGTGCAGAGGAAGTACTTTTCTCCCTTTTCTTACATTTCTGATGATGTATGACATGAGACCCACAATGAGAGCGACCCACCTGACACTCAAATGAGGTGTGTGTCCTCTTTCTTACCGCGTATAATAGAAGGAATGTGTCAGTTTCCACAGCTGCCATTGAAAAGAAGAGCATCTTTAACTCCCTTACTCTGAGCCACCGTGGCACACAGGCGTTTCTCCATAGCAACAGGCTGACCCCGTTTCTATGGTTATGCTGTCCCTTCTGCATTTCTTCCAGGAAAACGATGGCCAGAGGAGAAGAGAAAAAGGCACGAGTACGTGGGAGCATCACAGCCGACAGCAGGTGGTTCACTTAATCAGCACAAACAGAGGTTAGTAAGATGAATAGCAGTTAGATCAAACCAGTGCTCATCTCTACTTAGTGATAGATTGAGTTAAAAGCAGTATTGGAATGTAACTAAGTGCATTTACTCAAATAAATACCATTTTGACTAACGTTGAAAGACAATATAGTCTCTTTATTCAAACCTGTCCGCCTTCTCTGCAGCCCATTCAGAGCGGATTCTGCATCAGTTTAGACAAGCCTCACAACAATGGAACAATTTGAAATAATAAAGTAGCACCATATACGTTTATCTCTCCTCTTCTTGTGTCTTTTCTTTGTCTTTTATCTTTTTGTTTGTTTTCTATGGAAGCCTGTTTGCACCACAGGAACAAAAAATGACTTAGTTATCTCATTATATTGACTTACTATCTCATTATATTGACTTAGCTATCTCATTATATTGACTTACTATCTCATTATATTGACTTAGCTATCTCATTATATTGACTTACTATCTCATTATATTGACTTAGCTATCTCATTATATTGACTTACTATCTCATTATATTGACTTAGCTATCTCATTATATTGACTTAACTAAGTCAATATAATGAGATATTAAGTCAATATAATGAGATAACTAAGTCAATATAATGAGATATTATCTCATTATATTGACTTACTATCTCGTTCTTTTGTAGCTTCCTCTGTAGTGTCCGTAGGCTTAGTTTAATATTGTGTGATTCCTCCAAAACCACTAAAATGTCCTTATTTGTGAATCCGCGTCTAAAGTAGTCTTCAATTATAGTATCCTTTAGTTCAGCTAAGTGTGTCCCACACACTTGCTATTGTTGCTTTAGTGTAAAGGGATGAAAGCTAATTTAAAAATGGCTCTTATATGATAGTAAGTCACTATAATGAGATAGTAACGAAGCTAGAAATTTTTGGTTATTCATGTTATATTCATTGTTCTAGGAATGTTTTCAGCGGGAAGTTTTATTTTGGTTCCCAGAACGTTCTTCTGAAAGGTAGGATAATGTTCTCTAAAAACATTCTTAAAATGTTTGGTGATAACATTGACAGAACATTATGCCCTACTGTAAAACGTTTTCAGCTGCAAGTTAGATTTGTTTATGTTGCCAGAATGTTATTATTTTAGAGAAGGATAACATGCTTTATGTTTAAAACATTATGCAAATGTTCTGTGGTAACAATTTACCAACATATTTTTACATAGAATATGTAGAACATAAAGACATAATATTCCTGTAATTGTTCAACTCAAAATTCCTGGGTAAGTGGACTGATAGTTTACTTAACTATTAACACATGTAAAAGGATGATTCGGAATCAGCTGGTGAGCGTAACATTTGTTTATTAGAAAAGGGGAGCTGGGAGTGGAGGTTGGTTATGGCAGCAGTTGGAAACAGTTGTTCCAGGGTGGAGAGGACTGGCTGGTCTTGGGAGTGTGGAAGGCCTTGGATTCCTCCTGGGAGAGACACAAAAATCAGTGTGAGGCAAAAGCAAGTAAAGTGGTCAATAGATCTGCTGGCAAAAAGCTAGAGCGGCACGCAACAAACCTTTCACGGCAACAATCCGGCAGGGAATGAGTGCAGGCTGCAGGCTTTCATAGTGTGGCTGATGAGCAGGTTGCAGGTTGATTGGAGATTGCTCCCAGCCGTGTAGAGCAGACCAGCAGTCAAGTAGGAAGGGGGGGGGGGGGGGGGAGAGAGACACACACAGTAGAAACAAACACATAAACACTAACAGGGGCCCTTTCTCATTTCATCGAATCCCCCTCCTCGACTCCTCGGTCCTCCGGTAGTGACCTGGAAATGAATTTTAGAGCGCCATGTTGAAGGACATCTCATTTCTCTAAATGCACTTCGAGGACCGAGGATCGAGCGTCGAGGAGGCTTGGAGGAGCTATAACCGAGGATACACTGATGGGTCCTCCACGGCTCCTTCGCGGATGCATTTCCGGGAACAGAGATGTTTCAAAGAGTCGTGACGCACGGCCGGACTTATCTCAGCCAATGACAGCTCTGCATGCATCCCCTGGATATTATTTTAGAAACTGCTTTCATCGCGACGCGATGTTTACAGTGAGAACAGCTGTGAGGTCCGTGGAGAAAGCAGAGCAGTGTGTACAATATATATCACTGAGTATAACAGACCTACTCTCTTTATTTGCTTTAGTTTAGTAGATATCTACAAACAAAGAGTCCATATTTTTCTAAAACCATTTAGTGCTTCACATAATAAAATACACAACGGCTGTAGGCTGATTATATGCTTTAGGAGCTGTAGGTGCGTGTGGTACAGTGTGTAGGTGTGTGTGTGTTGTACAGTGCGTAGATGCAGCGGACAGACGGGTCTCAGTTGGTTTGGTGTCCTCTGCTTACTTATACTTGTAAATAAAACGTTTGGCCTGTAATTTATTTTCCTCATTGTAGCGACCAGAGAGGGGGGGGATATATCCAGTCTCTGATAGTGTTACGTTATTATGAGTGCTCTGTTTGATTCTGAAATTGTATATATTTATATAAATATATACATAGGCCTATATGTGTGTGTGTCCGCATCTGTAGCCTGTTATTGTCTCATTATACCGCACTGTGAATGAATCAAAGTAAATATATAAGTCGTCATGAACACATCTGTCCATCAGACAGAGGGCTGCTGTGCCTCCTGTCATCATTAATGGACGTCTCTTTAAAATGACCGCTCAGAGGAGTGGAGTTCTCATTTCTCTAACCGCCTGCTGCTTCCCCTCCTCTCTCCTCGGCTCCCCTCCTCGGCTCCTCCGCTCGCATCTCCTGTGGGCGGGACTAAGTCTCGAGGATAGGAGTCGAGGAGGGGAGTCGAGGAGGGGAGTTAGAGAAATGAGAAAGGGCCAGGGGCAGGGGCGTCGCCTGGACCTGGAAACATTCGGGGCTTAGCCCACAGTGGCGGCGCTACAGTCAAATTTTCTACTGCAAGACTCCCCACACGCACATACACAATTGCGCCATCTGGTGTCACAAACAAAAAGCTTTGTTACGGCAATGGAGTGTGGGAGACTCTCATAGCACGTGAGGATCTCTTGAGGGTAAGGTGCCTGTATTATCCCGGTGGACAAAATGTATGTTTTTATTTTATAAGGACAATAACGTTCTGTTGTGTTTGTTTAGTTTAATGTTAATTGTTTAATGCTCACAGTCACAGCAACATGTTTTTAGTGTGATTGGCTATTTGTTTTATATGATTTATCAACGTGATCATCAATAGCTAATCTGAGCACCAGAACCCAGCTCACGAGTCCTTTGATGCTGTCCATTGAAATGCAGGTATGTGAGTTTTGTACACCAGTTTATTTATGTTTAATATTTCACATTGCTCCACATGATAACTCGACTACAAAGTCTTCCATGTTTCTACGCTTCTTCCTCTGTGTCACAGTTTCGGGAATATCAAGATCATTGCACAGGGCCTTGGTCTTGTCATAGACCTCATGTGCTTTCTCGTTACTTTGGTAACTTTTCAGTGTGTTCTCAACTGCTGTTTGTAATCTACTGCCTGCACCAAGTCAAGTGTTTCTTTCTGCAGGTATTCAAGCAGGCCCTGAGTGGTTGAGAGCAGTGTCTGGAACATGACAGCATGTAGATGGTACTGCATTTTCAAAGCTTGCTTTCCAGTCCCTTTGCTAGAGGGGCTGAAAGGCTCCCTAAAGTCTTGATCAAAGCAGGAGGTTTTTGACATGCCCAGCGAATAAGTTGTTTGTCCCCTACCTCTAGCTGTTTCTGAAATGTTTGCAATCTCTGATGGTGGACAAGAGATGTGGAGAAGAAAGAGTAGAGACACTCCAGGAGATCAACGCAGGTATGTGAGTTTTGTACACCAGTTTGTATAAGTTTAATGTTTCACATTGCTTGTGAAAAATATACTACCACTATACGATCACTGAAATGTGTTGTTGACTGGACACTTATTTTGTAAAAGAGATAGCATGTGAGGATCTCTTAAGCAATGCAGCTCACGTGTCCTTTTTATATGCTGTCCATTGAAATGCAGGAAAGTAATCACCAGCTCTGAGTGATCTGTTGCCGAGGGGACACTACACTGGAGTTACATAAGCAGAGACAAAGTGCTATTTTGGGGGGAACTCACCTCCTCTGGGGGGGCCGGGCCATGCTCCCCCAGGAAGACTTTTTTTAAATACTGAAGTTAAAAGCATCAATCTTGTGCACTTTGAGAGCAACATCAAGAGATATGGATACATCTCTCAACACCCATATGTCAAAAATAAATCTCAGAATCAGAAACGGGTTTATTATTTAAAAACACTTCATTTTCCAATTAAATCATAAACTATGTCAATTTATTAGAAGTTGTTAGTAATCAGATTAAACAGAAAAAAGGGATGGAAGGAGGAAATAATAATCCCTCATCTCTTGCTGTTTGCGGTTGAAATGATCTCTTTTGCTGGCCAAACATGCTGGATGGAAAGCAGTGATGTCTCACTTGCCTTGGCCCTGTATCTGCAGTCCCTAAATCAGTCATGTTACTCATTGACTCTTGTCTGTTCTGGTGTTCCTGTTCATTGTTGTCTCCATTGTCGTTCTTGTCTTTTGTATCTCCTTCTTGTGTGTCCCTTTCTCCTGTTCTCCCTTTCTCCTGTTCTCCTTTTCTTCATCCTCTACTCTGTTTGGCTCATCTGTGATGACTGTGTAGGTAAACACAAACAAGTATGTAAGTCAATCAGTTTCCAGCTCTGTCAAATAAATGAATTTCAAGATACACACATTTGTCTTCATTAAAATGAGTGTCACCACACTGTCACAAAATGTAATACTAACCAATTGAAAATAGTTAAATGTACATCTCTTGTAGATATCACTGTTAAGAGTAGTTATCTGCCAATAGGACAGAATCATTCCTATACAAATGCAGTTTGAGTAATTCACTTAATATATTTACTTAAAACTTTAATATAGTCATTTTCACTTAATACTCTAATATAGTCATCTTTCTGCATTCAACACTAAGGAAAGCTGTACAATTTGACATGATAATGAGGAAAAAAGGCCTCCGACAATGCAGATCATTTTTTGATCATATCAATTTTAAGATGCGGGTCAAGGCTTAATATTTGGGAGCATAGTGTCCCATGCTCCATTTCAGGAGCCCCACTGGATTGGCTTTGATCTGAAATATTTGTATAAAAAGCTTGTTAGCTGGCTGTCCATCTCATAATGTTCACATAGAAACTAGCTGTCAATAGGAAATATCAATCAGAAGAATTATATTTTCATGCAAAATCTGTCACAAAAAGAGGTTGCACATTTAAATTCAGGTGTTGTTATGGCAACGTCAGTGGCCAAACAGCCACATTTACTGCTGCAAATACGTTCAAACATGCTGTCGACACGTAAAGCAGTGGCAACCATGCCACCATTTCAGCTGACTTTTTCTCAGAAATACTGTCACATAACATCCATATATTTCAGTGCTAGGTTGATGCTTAGCTAAGCTAACTATGAAACACGACAGGACTCAGGAATCAGGATCAACTGTGTACTGTAAGGTAGCTTCTAGCTTCATGTCGAACACAGACAGTAAGTCAACATTTCCCAGAGAGCTTTCTTTGAAATCACCAAGTAACGCTAAAAAACACAACATTTAGATTGTATGACAAAGTGTTTATTTAATATATCTGGCTAGCTATAGCTACTTGCTAACGGTTTAGCTTACCCGCGCGATTCAAAGTAACGTCAACGTAGCTATAATTTATGCTTTGCTTACGTGTTCGCATAACTTGTAAGTTTACTGACAGGTACATACCTTGTTCACCTGGCTCAGGTGGTGGCTCTGGGGTTGTTGTGTGAGCCACCACTTGAGAATTGCCGTCTTTTTTATTAAAGAAATGTCTAATGTCCATCTTCAGAATCTCCGCGTCCGGGGCTGACAGTTTAAAGTTTAAACATTGTCACAGAGGAGAGGTACGTACCTGTCAGCCAATAAAACACGTGTATTTCCATGCAACTCTCTGATTGGTCTGGTGGCGTCGTCTTGCCTCTGTGTTGCATTCACTGAACATGGGAAATTACAATTCTGCCGTCCGTCCTATAGGTAAAGTAGGTTAATGTATTATATTATTGAGGGAGAATTTGTCCGGGGCTAAAGAAAAAACATCCGGGGCTAAAGCCCCGGATGCCTACCCCAGGCGACGCCCCTGGCCAGGGGTTTCAGGGACGGGCAGTGATAGTCGGTCCATTCTTCTATATGTCTGTCTTTGGTTTTCTAAGTGTTATTCGATCCATATGACAATAGAGATATGTGCATAAACAACAAAAACACTTGGGGTATGGTACGACCGGCCCGTTGGCCGCAACAGGAAAGTGTCACACTCCTAGGTTTATGTCACAGTTTTAGTGTTGTCTGTCTGGTTATGGGTTTTGTAAGTCTGTTCATTCTATGTTTTGTCTTCCTCCTTGTGTTTTGTCTGGTCCTCCTCCCTGTCGTTAGTTTCCCTGGTGTGTCTGATTGTCTCATTGTGTTCACCTGTTGCCCTTGTGTTTCTCCCTCCCCTGCCCAGCTGTGTCTTGTCATGTGATTACCCTTCTGTGTATTTAGTCTAGTCTTCCCCTGTGTTCCATGTCGGTCCATTGTTTTCCCTCCATGTTATTCCACGGTCCTTGTGCTGCTCATTTGTTTTTGGATATTTTGGATACTACCTTTTGAC